ATTTCCGACGCCCGAAGAACGTCGTTTCAGGCCAACTAGGTCATAGCATGGTTATAATAACTCACAGAAAGTATTAACAAACATAGAATTTACGGGGATTTCATTCAAATCAAACGAGTTTATGTCGATTTAAACTTGCATTGTTTTACTATAAATATGACAAATTAATTGTACATTCTGGTCTTTGGGTTTTAAGACTACATTTACACATTAAGGAAAATATTGGATTTTCTGGAACGGACACTACTTTTACAAGAAAAAGGTTTTCATAATTGCATACAAAAACTTATTGACTCACCAACCTTTATGTTGACACTTTTTCAAACCAACTTGTATTCTCAGGAAATCACTAAACAGGTAACCAAGTGCTATTGAGGATGGGACGTTAAGGCGTCAAACATTTCACGTTTTGTCAACATATTGTAATTGGTTTGGAAACATGTAATTAATACAATGATGTAACTCTTTCAATTATATATATGTTGGTTGTGTTTACTTTGATCACTATTGCAAAATGTTGTTATGATACTATACATGAAGTCCTCCACCCCCGGACGTTTCCGCCATCCTTGGTTTGGGGATGTGACATTAATCGCTTGCCTACTCTTAGAAATATTGATTATCAGGGAATAGAAGTCCATTTGTTATTATGCCTAATTTATCATTTAGAGGTGGAACAACAAGAGCATTTGTTAATTCGTTGTGAGGTGGGAGCCAGAACTTGGGGTGCGATCTTCAAATGGTTGGAGGTTACTTTTAATAGTTTTGATTCTATTATGAAGTTATATCGACCTGGTGGATATGATTAAGTGTGACATAAATAAGAAAAAGGTGATTGATGCGGTGGTTGCTATTTCAGTTTTGTACTTATGGAGGTTTCGCAAGAATAATGTATTTGGATATGGAAAGATTCGAAAAGACACTATTTTTGTTTCTATTAGGGAGTTTTCTTTTCTTTGGATTAGCAATAGATTTACTAAATTTTCTTTTCCCTGGGTTGACTGGTTGCAGCACCCTTTAAACAATTTGTAATTGTCTTTTTCTTCTAGATCCTTGCTAGAGTATTTCATTTTTCAATATATGGTTGACAGTTTCTAAAAAAAGACGTGAAGAATGTTTTCTTGCATGGTCAACTGAATAAGACAGTCTACATGCACCAATCATCATGGTTCAGGGATAGAAAATTACCAATCTAATAAGAACTTGTTTTTTCTTTCAAACGAAAAATTTCATTAAAAGGATTGCAAATAGCAAGGGGCTACCGCAACCAGGAGAAGTACAAAAGTAAGAACAAGAAATGAACAAAGAGGAAAATTGAAACCTGAAAATACAAATTGATTAAATATGGAGATGATCAAATGGTGAGCAGCACCAAACCACCCAATCAGGCTCTTATGCTTGCACCATGCAAAATGATTGGGTAATGATAGTGCCGACCAACTTTTTGTTGTAGCTTTGATCTGTTTGAAGAAAAATTCATTCCTGGATAGCAAAACATTCTATAGAAGACATAAAAGGATGGCATTTCCTATCACCTTTTTCCCCAGGCAGCTGCACCAGTAAGATGCACATTCAATAAATTCCATTATGCTAGAGAATCTCCTAGGTTGGATCCCTCACCACCGAAAAATCCAATGTTGGACCTCCTGTGTAAATTTGCAATGAAGTAGTAGTTGGTCAACTGTTTCATTTATTACATAAAGAGAAAGATTGAGAAGCTACCATTACACCCCTAACCACCAGTGACACAACTACTAGGATTCTACCCAACATTGCTCTCCAAACAAAGCATCTAGCTTTTAGAGGAATTTCCTTCTCCCAACAAATACTAGGACCAGTAGATTTGATAAGTTTGGATTTGATTAACTTATGCATATATTTGACCACATAGCCTCCATTCAGAAATGGAACAAACCAGAAACCAAATTTAGAGCTTTCATCAATGTTTAAGGCATCGATAATTGTATACAGTTGTAGCAACTCATTTAACTCCTCAGGACTTTCATGGGTTTTTTTTCCAATTCCACGTGAAGCCAATCTAAAAAATATGATGGCCAAGGAGGCAACATTTTGTGGATTCTAAAAGATATAAGTAGGGAAATCTCGCCGGAACGGATCACTGCTACACCAAATATCTTTCTAAAAAATTGTTTTCACTTTACGTCTTGGTATGAGCTTGAATAATGATTTGTGGTCAATGTTAATTTCTTGAAGGTAATGCACAACCCTGAAAATGTTATTCCAGACTCCAGTGGAAGATTTCCTTACAATGTAATGTGTCGTCTTAACGTTGAGGTTGTGAATGCTCGAAATAACAACTTTCCATAGACTATGTTGCTCATTCATTAATCTCCATCGCCATTTTAGAGCAATATTTTGCGCTTTTAAGGTAGCTACACCCAGTCCCCCATCAGAAATGGGTGCAAGAATTTTGGACCACTCCACCTAATGGATTTTGTTCTATAACTCACTACTACCCCCATTGAAATTTGCACCTTATTTTTTCCAGTGCATCAATATGCCTTGTGGAGCTTTAAAAGTTGACATGTAGTAGGATGAAAGACAATTTAGGACTGATTTGATGAGAGTAATTCTACTAGCAAACGAGAGAGAGTTGGACTTCCAATTAGACAGCTTATAATGGATTTTATCAATCACAGGTTGCCAATGTTTCTTCAATCTCATGTTAGCCCCGACGGGGACCCCCAGATATATGATTGGGAAGGAACCCTCCGATTACCCCAATGATCTAGCCAGGGAATGCAGTTCCAGATTCGATACACCTACTCCAAATAAACAAGATTTGAAGAAATTAACTTTTAAACTAAACAAAATATGAAAACATTTGAGCATTGCTGAAAGGTTTTTGATGCTAACACAGTCCCAATCACTCAAAAAAATTGCATCGTACACATAGAATAAATATGAGAGATTTGGACCATTACGAGGCAATTTGATTCCACGGATTAACGATTTCTCGCAACCAGTCTTGACTGCAATGTTTAATCCTTCCATTACGAGGATGAAAAGAAATTGCGACACTGGATCTCCCTGAAGAACACCCTTGTAAATAGGAAATTCATTCGTTGGTGCCCCGTTCACTAGTATAAAATCCCTAGAGGTAGATAGACAACCCTTAATCTATCTCCTCCATCTGAACCCAAAATTCATCTATTCCACAATAGTCTCGAGAAAGTTCCAGTTGATGGAATCGAAAGCTTTCTCAATGTCCACTTGGAGTAAGAACGCTTTCTATTTTCGCTGTTTAACCTAAGAGAAAACTTCATTCATAACTAGCGGGCCATCCATAATATTCCTTCCTTCGATATAGGTAGATTTTACCTCACTTACCACATCCCTAATTACAACTTTTAGTCTGGCAACAAGCAATTTCGTGATGATTTAGTTCAGGGTCCTAATGAGGCTAATGGGACGGTAGTCCCCAAGAGTAAGCAGATCAGTGACTTTAGGGATCAAGGTTACAAAAGAGGAATTACATCCAGCGCAAGGGAGTTGTTTTGTTCAAAGTACTTAACAAAGTCAACGATATCATTCCTCATAACTTCCCAATTAGCTTTGAAGAGCTTGAAGGTGAATTCATCCAGTCCCGACGTCTTCTCACTACCACAACACCATATCGCTGATTTGATATCATCTATAGTGAAAGGGGCTTCTAAAAACATTGACTGATTCGAGGAGATTCGTTGAAAATCCAAGCTAATAAGTTTCAACCTATCAGGCTATTTTTCAAGAAACTTGTCATAGAAAAACCGATGCACTTTCGATTTTACTTTTATTGGGTCAGAGATCCACACCCCATCAATTGTGAGACCATGGCTTACTCGAGAGAAGATAGAGGGATCCCACAAGCAAGGTAGCCCACCAGACCCGCAGGTTGGACTAATTGCAACAAAGTTGACCTCATTAGAGCCCCAACATCATGTGAAGTCAATATTGTTGAAATCGGCCACTCTAGTTTCATGTAGACTTAAGAAATCAGACTTGTGAGTGTGTCTGAGTTTTCGCACTCAATTTACTTTATTGGATTCACCAACACGCATAATATTTAGGCTTAGAGTAATCATTGGAGACCATCGTTAACACCACCAGCAGTAGGGATGTTACCAAGGACATCATCGACAATTCATTTTGCTCCGGTATCAATTTTGAAACCCACGTGACTGCCAATTTGGATGATTTTATCGACTTCAATTGAGGATGATGGCGAAAAATCATCACAATTCCCGCTTGCACTAGGATTTGGGATAGCAACATTAAGGTCAAATTCATCCAAAAGCTTCCGAGGATATATGATCTCAGTCTCGATTGACCGAGAAATATTGTTTAGTTTCCTACGCTTAGAAGATTTCCCTAATTTTGACTTGGTTGAGTCAATATTACCAGTTTCCATTATATTGTCTGGGATGGGATGTACAGTATCCACTATATTGTCTGGGTTGGCATGTGTAATGAAATTGATCTTTGCATATACGAGCTAAGACTAAACGGTGCAGTAATGGGGACATCAGCGGTATCTGACGTGTCACCCTTTCACCGCCGATGAACACCGTGCCGTGAAGGGGTTTTCACCGCCGGTGGTCTTATACCGTTGGCGAAATTTTAATTTTTGTGGCATTTTGTGTTTGGAGACGTTGCCAAACGGTCGTCAACGGCTAGTTTGGCAAATTTCTCCTTTTTTTACATCTACTATATATACAAATAATATTTCCAAAAAATCACCACACTATACACTCACAACAACAATTTTTTCTTTGAAAATATCTTCTTCCAACAATCCAAACTCTTCCAAACAAATTGCTCCAAACCAAAATGTTAACAACCATTTCACACTTTTTGGCTACGATTTGTCATCACCACCACCTTACCGGTCATAAATGGATGGTGTTCCTATCTATTATTCATAATTCCAAATTCCCCAACAATTCCATTTCCAAACTCAACCTCAAACCCAACCATTTCAAACCCAATTTCCATCCCAAATGACATTCACACCTTCAAACGAATTATTTTATGAGTCCGAACATGAAGAACAGCAACAACAGCCTCAACAACAAAAGAAAGGGAAGGCCGATCCGAGAAGATGGACACAAAAAGAAGAAATTGAGTTAGCAAGGGCATGGGTCGACATATCTGAAGATGGTGGCACGGTAAAGGGTCAAAATCATGATCAATTTTGGTTACATATCACAGAGCTCTTTTGTAAGGGAATGGGTCGAAATCTAGATTATCGGACCTCCGACCAATGTAACTCCAAATGGAATCTTATGAACAAAGTCGTCACACATTGGAATGGAATTTACACAAACTTTGAAATGTAATGGGCTAGCGGAGAAAGTGAAGCGAGTTTGTTGAAAAAAACACACGCTAAATTCCAAGATGATATGCAAAAGCTTTTTAAGTTTATTCATGTGTGGGAAGTTGTCAAAAGAAGCATTAGGTGGAGGGAACTTGCAACACATGAAGAAATTGAAAATCCGCCAAAAAGAAGCTGGACATCTTCATATTCAAGCTCGCAACAAGTCTCATCGGATGGTCACGTATGCGTTAATCTTAATGATGATAACGACTGTAACATCCAGATTCCCAGGTATATTATTTTATTATTTTATTTTGGAATTTGTTGAGGGACTCGGCGAG